GAGCGCTCCTACTGAAGCACCTGCCCCGGCAGCTAAACCGATGATGATGATTGCACCCAAATACCGCAAGATTAGGTTCGCTTCTTCATTAGTTTTTCGTTGATGTTTTGTGTTAACATCGCATCATTTTCATAATTAAATGGAATTGATGAATTGTGTGTAGTGATATTAGCGAAGAGCGTTTGATTCATTGCTGAAACCGGTACTTTTGAGTGTTTCGATTTCCTGAAAAAATTTGTCAAATGTCTTCCATTGGTGTCAAGTGTCTTTCTTGTTTATCTGATGCCAGTGATTTTCCGTTCTAGAAATCAACGTCGAAAAGAATTGCGAGCCAAGAAATTGGAAGAACTGAAGATCAAGAAGATGAGGGAAGGCATGGAAGAGGAACCAGTTGAAGATGAAGAAGAGCCAGAAGAAGAAGAAGAAAAACGTTTAGAGGGAGATGGGGACGCTAGGAAAGAGGTGCATGTTCCTGATGAGGCGGTCAGCAGTGTTGCAGGAAATGTTCCAGAAATTCCGGAAAAGAAACGAGAAGTGAGTTTATTTTCATTCGTTGAATTGCATCGTTGCAAAATGTACCGTTCGAGGTTTTTTATGAGTACAAATAGTATAATATTTGGTTTGTTTTGTTTGAAATGCCAAGATAGATCATGCGATAGAGCTGCTCAATGGGTATAATGCAGTGGACACCCTTATCCACCGCGACGAGTTTCTAATTGCGGTTTTGCAAAACTTTCTGCAGCAGTCGAATTTTCGCGTCGAAATTTTTCTGGAATTGAAAAAATTCAGTTACCAGAATTTGTATCAATGTGAAAAGCTTTATGATTATTCACGAAATGTTAACAATAAGCATTATTTTCACTCAACAGGTGATTGCTTATTCAGAAGGTTAACTAAAGATATATTGATGTGCCTCCTGGGAGGTTACTAAATATTGATCGTGAGGTTTCTATAATGTGCGTTTATGTGTATGGTGATGAATAAAAATGATCAGTTTTAATTGTGGAAATGAAACATGAAGGCATTGCTAGTGATGAGTTTTAGTTGGAAGAAGGAGAGATGTCATCGGAGAGTTCATCGTCCTCATCAGCCACATCGCCGTCGTCCTCGTCGTCATCCTCGGATGATAATGACGATGAGCAGTCGCAGAATACGGCTCGAGATCGACGACGTAAACGACGAATACAAAAGAAGTTTGTTTTTGCAATCATCGTAACAATCATCATAAGAGCACTTTGCGATCGATGCTCTCAAAAATATTCCTCCATATGCCATACACCAATTTTGCTTGTGGAATCATCATTATAGCTAACAATATTTGATTGTTTTGCACTATAACTAATCGAGAATAATTTCAAGACGTGCTCGTGGCGCGGCGGCCACTGCTCAGTTTTCGCTTGGAAGCGCACAGAGTCCACATTTCGAGGCACTTTTCAAGAAGTTATACGAACATCGACATGCTCTTCTCAGGTCACTACCTGCGACACACAAACACGCTTTCGCCGGTGTTTTGAATCAGGTCAGAACTTTTGTCCGTTCCGATTTATTCGTTTATTTCATCATTTTGTTGTTGTTGTTATTGTTATTATACGTGAAGATATTGGATTGTGATTTTAAATTATTGCAATGGATTTAAAAATTATTGCAATTTATGATTGCAATGCGATTCGATATTTTTCGAATGAATTCATGCATTTGTTGTACGTATTTTTCTTAGTATAAGGCGATTGATTGTTTTGCAGATACTGTCGTCTCCACAAGGAATGACTCGTGCTCAACACGATCAAATGACGTTATTCATGCGCACTTTTTCTGCACAAAATATGCATAACAAATAGAGGAATTGTGACGGATTTGTGTGGATATGCCGAACTTCAAAATCTATCAGAACGAGGAAGTATTGAGTTGTTATCATTATGATTGTTGTTGCGTTCGTTGTTTTGTTCAGCAGTGCGGTGACAATCATGACTTATTCGATTTGGTTGGTTGTTTGTTACTGTTTCGAAGATCAACTGAAAATTTGCAAACTTATGCAAATTGTGCAATTTT